TAAACGAAAACTTCTCAGAGGAACTAAGGAGGAAGAGCTGCTGCCAGAGAAAGTGGTGAGGAAGCCAACTTGAAGTCTGACAAAGTGCCCAGAGGCGGACAAACTTATTCATCAGCTTAAAGCGCCTCATGGGTCGTAGTTTGTCTTTTCATTCAGTGTTGGTTTGTTTTATTTGTCTGAACATCAAAACTACATCTTTCTCTCCAAGTTTGTCCAGGAAGGGTTTGATTGAGCACATTGAACATTGAACCTCAGCAATAAGGTTCATGAAATATCAAGAATCTGCTCCTCAGACAATATTCATGTTCAGAAACACATCTGGATGCTGCTTTTGATGATTCTGAGCTGGCTGTCGAGGGGTTCAGGTTATATAGAAGAAATATTTTCACTCACATACAGGCGGTGTGTTCACAGGCAGTATCAGTGGTTGTTGGATTCAGTGACCACTTTCTGATCGCTTTAGCAAGAAGACAAAAATGCCAAAGTCTGGAATTAAGATTGTTTATCGCCGGTCATAAAAAAGATTTAATGCAGATTTGTGAGAAAGTTAAAGACTTACAGCGGTCTGATGGATGTCAGGGAAACAAACAATGCTTTGAACATTTTCATGGACAAATTAGTGAAGTTATTGAATATCCACAGTCCACTTAGAAAAAGGTCTGTAAAGGCCAGCAGTGCACCATGGGTAGATGAGCTGAGATCTTTAATAATACAAAGGTATGATAAGGCCCATAAATCAGGGTGATCTTTAGATAGAAGCCTGAGAAATAAAGCTACAAAGTTAAACTATATTACAAAGAAAAAATATTTTAAACCAAAAATTCACAGCTCTGTTAATGATAGTAAAATATTGTGCAAGAACTATGAGGAAGTTTATCACCAAGCCATGTGAAACAGTTTAAGATCTAGTCTATAATTTAACTTCCTGTATTGTTAACAGTATTATGAGAGATACAAGATGGAAGATAGAAGATGTTGCTCTCTCTCTCAGGCAACTTTTTTCTCAATTGCAACTAGACAACTTTCTAAACCTATAAGTCATAATTAATAGATACTTACTAACTGGTAACTGTCCGGAGCCTTGGAAAGAGTCTAATATCATACCTTTACTCAAAGATGGAAAAGCAGGTTTTACTGGCTCCAACTGATCTACTTACATATATATTATATATACATTTTTAATCAAATGTTCAATTATTTCACTACTACTTGCTACTTACAAAAGCACAGCATGCTTACAGACCAGGTGACTCTACGGGCACTGCATGAGTACACAGGACCGATCAATGGTTATATTGGTTATACATATATTGATGACAGGAAACTAGTTGGTTTTACTGCAGCTTTTGATGTCACTGATCACAGCATTCTTATTGCCAAGCTTAAATGTTTTCATTAGTGTGACTACTTGTTGAGTTGGATGCTATAACTAAAAGGGTGAAAATGAATAAATTGGTACTGGACATTGACAAAACTAAATGTATTGTAATTCGTAGTAGGAATGCTCTCGCTAACAGAACTCGTCTACAGATGGGATGTTAGCTGAGCAGGTCACTAAAGCCGAAACAATAATATGAGGAATAATACGCCACAGAAATGAATATACACCGGCTTGGTTATATAACACGTCAGGTAAGTCCTGGTGATCTGGTCCCTGAACTGTATGATGAGAACTGTAAAGAGCTTCTTCTGCCTGGAATAAGCTCTCTGTCAACATCAGACAGATCGAAAGTAGAGATTCTTTCAAAAAGTCACTTAAAA